CATTTGCTTTTTCTTGCCTAAGAGTAAAACTTAATTTTTTTTCTCCATTGGACTTCAATTTTTTAGATAGGGTCCCAGAGTTCAAATATATCGAGATTCTTCCGTATCTTGAGCTTGTCTTCTGGGTGTTGGCTATTTCTGCCAGCTTAGTGTCATCTCCAAATTTGATAAGTTCCCGTTCTATTCCCTCATCTAAATTGTTTATGAAAATATTGAATAGTGGGCCTAAGATACAGCCTTCTGGTACCCCACTGCTTCTTGCACTCCATATATATGTAGTTCCATTAAAGACTGTCATGGAAAAACCCAATGAAAGAAACAAGAGACAATGCCAATAAACAACAACACAACTACAGTCCATACAGCAGGCATAAGGCATTTTCCGGTGCAGATTGTTTCCTTTATGCGCCTTTGGACTTCCATTGTGTTGGAAAAGGTGGTTTGAAGTTTTTCAGTTGTCTGAGTAAGGCAGATCGGAGTTCACTTCTTTTTGGTGCTGTCTGGGCCAGAGTGCATGCTGGTGGGGAACAGAGTTTATTAGCATTGCTTCCATGTTGGGCAAAGGTTCAGTCTTTGCCTCATTGTGGTCATTTGACTCGGGTCTGTGACTTCCTCAGCTGGGGGCTGGTCTTCTTCATCTTGGGCATATCTGTTATCGGACGTTGGCAATCATGTTGGCGATCCTGTTTTTATCAGCAGCCGTACGAAAAAGTGCTGCTGAGTTTTGTCCAAACCAGTCCCTTAGATTTTGAAGCCATGATGTTCTTCTTCTTCCTGGACCTTGTTTGCTTTCAGTCTTTCCCTGGAGGATTAAATGGAGTATGCCATATTTTTCTGGTGTCACATCACATGTCCGAAATATTCTAACTTTTATTTTTTAATTGTTTTAATGATTTCCCTTGGCTTTCCCAGGCGGCTTATCACCTCATTTCTGATCTTGTCAACCCAGCTTATACGTAATAGCCATCTGTAAATCCACATTTCAAATCCCTTCTAGTCTCTTCAGGTGGCCTTCTGGAGTAGACCAACTCTCTACTCCATAGAACAGGATAGAAAAAATATAACATCTGACAAGCCTGATTTCCAGTCTTAGGCTTATGTCGAGACTGCAGAAGATGTGTAAGGACCCATCCCACTTTGCATCTTAAGAAGACAGAACTCTTAGAATATTTCTTCCAACAGGCATCCTTTATTAAGAGAAAATGGTTGCAGGTGTTCTAGACAGGACCTGGGCCCCAAGCCCTATGGTTCAAGGTTTTAAGGGGTCCCCAGCAGCCCCACCCCACCCTACCATTTTTCCAGCGACAATCCCAGGTATTACATTTCCACCCCCTTTTTCCTCACTGCCAGTGGAAGGGAGACTTCAGAGAGGAGTAGATGAAAGCTGATGGCCCCATTATTATGACTAGTCCTTTTGGTGGTATCCACATTCAGCCCCTTTGAAGTTGTACCAAAGGAAGTGAGGGCCATAAAACCCTTTTGTTCATCCCCCTTCCCTTCATCATATGACAGAATCCAGAGAGAGCAGAAATGGGGTTTTCCATAGTCGATAACTAGAGATGAAATATAATTGGATTCTGACCAGATGTTTTTCATTTTGAAGAATGCTGTTTGGGCTTTCTCTATCCTTGTCTTTACTTCAGTGGTCATGTCCCAGTTTTCAGGTAAATTAGAACCGAGGTGCGTGATCCTTTCAACTTTTTCTAATGGTATTCCTTCCAAATTTATTGGTGGTAAATTAACGGGTTGTTTGCTGATGACCATCATCTTGGGGGCTGGTACTTTTTTGCAATGCGAAATATGTATCCAGAAGCCAGATCTTGACACGTCACATTGTTGTTGGTCAACAAAATTTGGAATGGTCCCTTTCAACGAGGAGCCAGGCAATTCTTTAGCCAAAATACTTTAGTCAGAACCGGATCACCAGTCTTCAAGGCATAACAAAGATGTAGTGGTTCCTTGGAGAAAACCACCGCAACTTGGGAATGATAGTTTTTTTAGACTCAGAAGCTACATGGGTAAAGTGTACCAATGTGAAAGGAGACAAATTAATAAAAAAGTTCTATGATAAATATCCTCACAAGATATTTGAAGAAATACTTAACCTGCTTTTTGTTTCCCCTATGGGAAACTTTTTCTTTTTGAGAGGGGCCAGCTGTCAACTCTACAAATGAGCATGGCTACAGCCAAGTTCCTTCTCATTTTAGGTTTCCTCATAGAATGGAGGGAGGGGATAGCCCAGGTGCTTCCTTAATCAAAATAATCCTTTCTCCTATGGGAACCAAGGTCATTGGCTGCTTCTGAAACTGCAGGCTGGGCATTGCATAAAAAGCCTGCAGAAAAGATGTATTGGGGAATGTAGTTGCTTGCATAATTTTATGGATGGGATTTTTTAACTTTGTATTGGGGAATTGTTACGTGTGTATCCAGACTTGGTTTCACTTTTGATTGTGCCAATACTTTGTAACTAATAAACATGTGCTTTGAGGACTTTGCAAGCCTCGGAGTTCTGTTTTATTCATCTCTGTCTGTCAGAACCATGACATACGGTTTATTGGTGTTTGTATTTATATTTCTCTCTGTATGCATATATCTACAATTGTATAATCTATCCCCATCACTTCCAAGCATATTTAATAACAACAACAACAACAACCAGTTTTGGTCACCACAATGTAAAAAAGATGTTGAGACTCTAGAAAGAGTACAGAGAAGAGCAACAAAGATGATTAGGGGACTGGAGACTAAAGCATATAAGGAACAGCTGCTGGAATTGGGTATGTCTAGTTTAATGAAGAGAAGGACAAGGGGGGACATGATAGCAGTGTTCCAGTATCTCAGAGGCTTTCACAAAGAAGAGGGAGTGAAGCTATTTTCCAAGGTGCCTGAAGGCAGGACAAGAAGCAATGGATGGAAACTAATCAAGGAGAGAAGCAACCTAGAACTAAGGAGAAACTTCCTGACAGTTAGAACAATTAACCAGTGGAACAATCTGCCTCCAGAAGTGATGAATGCTCCAATACTGGAAGTTTTTAAGAAGAGACTGGACAGCCATTTGTCTGAAACGGTGTAGGGTTTCCTGCCTGAGCAGGGGGTTGGACCAGATGACTTCAAGGTCCCTTCCAACCTTACTATTATTAACTTTATTGTTACTTGAATGTATACCAATCGGCATACATCAAAATGATATTTCGTTGCATTCAGCTCTCAGAGAGTCACCACCTTCGATATATGTTCCTTATAAGTGGCCAGCTCAAGTTTCGGATCATCCATTTTAGTCTGTAGGAAGTGAACGATGACAAACAGGACAGATGGAAATGGAACTCCATGTGGATCAGCCCTCAAATTAGGTTGTATTCCCGCATGACAACCTTGCCTCCATTCCTTTTTCTGATCCTGTCTCTTCCACCTTTTGCTTAAAGAGGCCATGATTCTTTTTGTCCCTGGAGCACGCTGCCGCCACCACCAACTCCTCCAAAAGCCTCTTTCTCTTCCTCTGGGCCTGCTGACAGCCTCATCCACTCTCTTTGCTCCATAAGCCCCGGGCCCTTTCCTCCTCTGCCCCGTTTGGAAACAGCCTTGATCTGCAATAAAATCCATCACTGGGCCAGCAGTCAGATCTTGTTGCTGGCAGAACAATTTCAAACAGCACCAATGACTTTTAACGGTCTCACCAACAGTTCTGAAACAGCTAGAAACTCGCCATGCCAGCAAAGATTGTCAATCGTATGTTATCTTAGTTCCACCACATTGCTCAAACACATTAAAACCTTCCCTATCATGTGGCCTATATCCTTTATATCCCTCCCAAAACTTTTCACCTTCAAGAGCCAATGCAGTCACAACCAATCCAGGCGCCACCATCTTAGAACTCTTTGAATCCTTTGCAGTGCTAAGATGCTGCCTGCCTTCTCTTGCTTTCACTAACTCTCAATAAAAGTTCCTTTTGAAATGCTGCCAGTTTCAAGAGTTCTGCTTTCTTGAGAGATTCAGCTGAGGTAGAGCCTTACAACTTTCATGTGTCAAATGAATCATAATTAATGTAAGAGGTTATTCTAGCATTGTGGCATGTTTGCTTTTTTGTTGTATTGTATAGATTTTGCTTTCTTTCACATCTGCAATCATTTTATGCACATTTAAAGTTAAACTTTATATTTAAATTTTGGGCTCAGTTGTGGTCGTAAGTTAAAGACTGCGTGTATTTGAATTTGGATCTTGGTAGTGTTCCATGTGTCAAAGGAATCATGATTAATGTAACAGTTATTCTAACATTGTGGCATGTTTGCTTTTTATTTTAATGTATAGTTTTTTCTTTTTTTCATATTTTCTACAACAATTTTGTAAACAATTAAAATTACACTCTTCTTTAAATCTTATAGGCAAAGCAGATGACAATAAGAGCACTCTGGACAACTGAGAATAAGAAGCAATGTTGAAAGAAAATCGACCCAGAAATCAAAATATTTTCCATTTCCTTCAGAAAGCCACACCATTCTCCTTCTCCAGCAGCTGATAGACAAAAAGAGAGAAAATTAAGAAAGATTTCAAGCTGGAATAAGTAGAGCATATGGAACTAAAGGATACATTACATGAAAAGTCAAAGGAGATTATTCTTTATTCAGTAAAAGAGGGAAATATCTGGAAGTCACTGGATAGGAAAAAGTCATTTGAAGAGCCACCTAGGGCAGACAGTGATGCAAGCCATGCTCTGGGAGGAAAAAAACAGCTTTAATTAAAAAACCCATTAAAAAGGGATCACACATGTTTTTGACATCCTCAAGGATATAAGTGGTGGAAAAGCTGCATAGATGTGCTTATTGTGGGAAAGATACAACTTGCAAATCACAGCTCATTATGCATGAGAGGACCTATACAGGAGAGAAGCCATAAAAGTTCTCCCAATGTGGTAAATACTCTATTGAGCATGGCAATGAGGACTGACACCACGTATGAGTGTCCAGAATATGTGAAAGTTTCATTGAAAATTCTCACCTCTTGAGACAACAGGACTCACACAGGAGAGAAACACTTTGAATGTGTTGATTATCGGAAATGTTTCACTGGAAATTCCTACTTTGGGAGTCACCAGAGGACTCACACAGGAGAGAAACCCTCTGAATGTCCTGATTGTGGGAATAGTTTCAGCGAGAATTCCCACCTAGTCATACGTCAGAGGACTTATACAAGAGAGAATCTTTTTGAATATCCTTATTGTGGTAAAGATTTCAGTTACAATTCCAGCCTGTTGACACACCAGAGGACTCACACAGGAGAGAAACCCTTTAAATGTCCGGATTGTGGGAAAAGTTTCAGTGAGAATTCCAGCCTGGTGAAACACCAGAGGATTCACACAGGAGAGAAACCATTTGAATGTACTGATTGTGGTAAATAACAATTGTGGTAATAACAATTCCAGCCTGGTGAGACACCAGAGGACACGCACAGGAGAGAAACCCTTTGAATGTCCTAATTGCGAAAAATGTTTCAGTCACAATTCCAGTCTGGTGATACACGAGAGGACTCACACAGGAGAGAGAAACCTTTTGAATATGTTGATTGTGGGGAAAGTTTCAATAATAATTCCAGCCTAGTAACACACCAGAGGACTCACACAGGGGAGAAACCTTTTGAATGTCCTTATTGTGGGAAAAGTTTCAGTTGCCATTCCAACCTGGTGATACACCAGAGGACACACACAGGAGAGAAACCCTTTGAATGTCCTATTTGTGGAAAAAGTTTCAATCAGAATTCCAGTCTTGTGAGACACCTGAGGATTCACACAGGAGAGAAACCTTTTGAATGTCCTTATTGTGGTAAACGTTTCAGTACCAATTCCAACCTGGTGATACACCAGAGGACTCACACAGGAGAGAGACCTTTTGAATGTCCTGATTGTGGTAAAGATTTCAGTAATAATTCCCACCTGGTGATACACCAGAGGACTCACACAGGAGAGAAACCCTTTGAATGTCCTGACTGTGGTAAAGGTTTCAGTAATAATTACCACCTCGTGAGACACCAGAGGATTCACACAGGGGAGAAACCATTTGAATGTCCTTATTGTGATAAATGTTTCAGTAACAATTCCAACCTGGTAAGACACCAGAGTACTCACACAGGAGAGAAACCCTTTGAATGTCCTGATTGTGGGAAAGGTTTCAGTAATAATTCCCACCTCGTGAGACACCAAAGGATTCACACAGGGGAGAAACCATTTGAATGTCCTTATTGTGATAAAGGTTTCAGTAGCAATTCCAGCCTTGTAACACACCAAAGGACTCACACAGGAGAGAAACCTTTTGAATGTCCTGATTGTGGGAAAAGTTTCAGCCAGAATTCCACCCTGGTAACACACCAGAGGATTCACACAGGGGAGAAACCTTTTGAATGTCCTTATTGTGGTAACAGTTTCAGTAACAGTTCCAGCCTGGTGAAACACCAGAGGACTCACAGGAGAGAAACCCTTTGAATGTACTGATTGTGAAAAAATTTTTAGTCACAATTCTAGTCTGGTGATACACCAGAGGACTCATACAGGAGAGAAACCATTTGAATGTCCTGTCTATGAGAAAAGTTTCAGTCAGAATTCCAGCCTGGTGAAATATCAAAGGACCCACGAAGGAGAAATTGTGATCTCCCATTGAAAGTGTAGTTGAGAAATTGACTATTTTAATTCTGGCCTGATTCTTTTTACTCAAACGTGTCTCAGGATTAGACTTGTAGGTGGAGAGAAAAGGAAAATGGAAAAAAGCTAACTACCTATTTCTGTTTATCAGCAGCATACTGGATATTTCCTTTTGCAGAAAGAGTGGAATTCCTCAAAAAGGCTTTTGGGTGGTGTTTTTGTATATTGATGATAGGATTCCCACATCTGGAGTTTTAGTCTTCTGTTGGTGTCCTCCAGATTTTGAGTCTTTCCATTCCTCCAGCCAGCAAAGAAGTAGTCCTCAAGATATGTGTAATAGGGCCTGCCAATTACGATTGCATGTTGCAGTGGTTGTTAAGCAAGATTACCTTGCTTAACTACCCACATTCCATTGTCTCATTGATGAAGCCGCTAAATGAATATGTAAGTTGCTAAGTGGAACATTGGTTACCTCAGTTTTGGGGGCATAGCACAGGTCCAGGTTTGCCTTTCCATCTCCTCCCCTACCTCAACTCTTGGGATTCCCCCCCAGGCCTCTCCCACTCTCACAAGATCCCCAAAGACTTTTCACCCCCCACGAGATCCTCACAGACTTTTCCCAGTCCCACTGGATCCCTGCAGCCCTTAAGCCTGACTCCCATACCACCAGGATTCACATCCTCCTCCTCCTTACCTTTAAAGATTTCTGATCCTTATGTTAGGGAAGGAGGGAAGGTCACATATCCCTGGGCCGCATAACTATGTCCTGGAAGCAGCAGTCATTTTCTGTGTTACTGGGATTCATTCCTGAGCCATGTGATGGACTTGTGGAAGTGATTGCCATTTTGTCACACCTCCTCAGGGCCAAAATGGTGGCTTCTTCTGAATCATTATCATGCGGGAGAGGGAGACGTAGTGGTTAGAATGCAATACTGCAGCTACTTCTGCTGATTGCTCGCTCCTGGCTATTCAGCAGTTTGACTCTCATTGGCTCAAGGTTGACTCAGCATTCCATCCTTCCAAGGTCAGTAAAATGAGGACCCAGATTGTTGGGGGCAATATGTTGACTGTAAAACCGCTTAGAGAGGGCTGTAAAGCAATGTGAAGTGGTATAAGACTTATATACTGCTTCACAATGCTTTACAGCCCTTTCTAAGCATTTACAGAGTCAGCATATTGTGCTATTGCAATTGCTATCATGCTCAGTACTCAATCAATCTTTGGGACATCCCTGAGAAACCTTGGAGGTCATAGAGGCTTGTGATAAATCATTGTCAGCCGCTATTCCTGACCCCCTTGAATGTTCCATTGATGATTCCCGCCTTACCCATCAATTTCTATACCTTACTGATTGTCCAATGCCCCTCTTGGGTTGAGATTTGCTCACTAAATTGCAAGCCACCATTTTTTTCTGGGGCCATATTGTCCACCAATGCTCTGGCTTGCTAGAACAATTTGTGGTATTCTGGAACCCCTGGACCGACTATTAATGCATCCCTAGTATAGATTCCATTACTGTAAGGACCTGTCTCAGTTAAACCTCCTAAGAAAGCAGAACTCTTGAAACCTGCATCATTTCAACAGGAACTTTTATTAGGAGATGTTGACAGCAGGAAAATAAGGCAGGATCTGAGGGTTTCCCATGCAAAACAGTAGATTCAAAGAAACAGTCCAAACCCCATCCCAACTGTCCATTGGGCCAGTTCAAACAGTCAATCCATAGGTGTGAAATAGTTGTGGGAAAGAACTGATAAGGCACCACTCTCAAGATTGTTTCTCCACGGCTTCTCTCTGCCTGGAGATGGCAGGTGGCTGGAGGTACATTCCATTCTCACCCCAAGCAAGAACAAAACAAAGGAAATACATGGCAAGACATCCATAGGTCCCCCTCCCCCCTGATAGAATGGCAGAACCTGAAAGTGAGAAAAAGGAAAGGGGTAAAATGGAAAAAGGGGTTCTGACACTTATATTCTGATGCACAGCCACTTCTATATGCTAGTATCCTATCGGTCTGGAAGCTTTGCAAGGGTGGAACCTATAATTGATAACTTCCTCACCTATAGTCTCATTAGGAAAGTTGTCAGCTCTTATAACACCAATCACTGCAACTTAACGCCAACTACGAGGCTTCTTAGGGATGGCAAGTTTTTGCTGCATTTGGATACCCAATTTCGCTTTAACGGCAAAGCCCATGTATCAAGCTACAAAAGGCTCTGATAAGGACCCTTTTGAGTGGACAAAAGACTGCCAGATGGTGTTTGACGATATTAAAACCTCCCTGCCCTTGGAATTCCTTTTTTAAATAAAGATTTTATTGGGGTTTTTTCATAAACATATGTTAATTTTTCCAATCAACAAGTTGTCTGGGATTAGCTATGCTAATACATATTCGATTCCTAATCCTTCATTCTTTCCTCTGACCAACAATAAAATAAATCCCAAATTTGATAGTAGTCTGTGTCTTCTTTATCTTTCAGTCTCATAGTTAGTCTGTCCATCTCTGCACATTCCAATATTTTCCTGATTATTTCTTCTTCTGATGGCAGTCCTTCATTCTTCCAGTATTGTGCGAAAATTATTCTCGCTGCTGTGGTGATGTGTAAGATTAAATATAGACTCTGCTTATTAATCTTTTCAGGCATTATACCTAGTAAAAAAAGTTCAGGTTTAAAATCAACTTGTTCACCCAATATTTTTTCTTTTCTTTTATAAAGTTTTTTATTTATAATAAAGTTTTAAAAAAAGTGGACATAACGTAACATTCCAGTGTAAGTATTTCTAACAATTTGTTCCTCTTCTTACTATAATTCTTAATCTCTATATATACATATATATTTTTCTATACAATATCTAATTTATTTCTCTATTTACTAACCTAAAATTATATGTGTTTCTATCTTAATACTAGACTATAACCCGGACAGTCCTTGATTCACACCAATAGTATAAATAACCACATATGTATCTTTCTCCAATAAGCCTTACCCTTGCCACATGTCCACCAAATGTGGTAGTACGTGCCTATATTATGTTTACATTTCCAACATCTATCTTGACATATTTTTAAACATTTTTGCTAATCTTGCTGGTGGCAAATGCCATCTATAAAACATTTTATACAAGTTTTCTTTATATGAAGTTGACATTGTTAGTTTGTAGTTTGGAATTCCTGATGTCACAAAACCTTTTTCACTGTTTGTTGTGGAGAGCAAAAGGGTGGCCACCAGTGTTTGAAACAAGACCTTTGGATGCTGGGAACACCTGGTGGCATATTTTTTCAAACAACTCAACCCTGTCACTCAAGGATAGCCGGTATGCCTTTAGCCACTGCAGCTGTCATCCTTTTATTAGGAATTGCGGAGCAATTATTCTTTGGCGCCACCATTGTAGTGGAGACTAATTTCATCCAGGAATTACTTGAGTCAAAGGGGAGGGGTCATTGGCTTACAGCCGGTTGCCTTGAAAGATATCAGATCGCCCTTCTCAATAATCCACATGTGCATTTAAAATGGAGTGGCAGTTTCAATCGATCCACCTTTCTTCCCCAATTGGAACAAAATGTTACTCAGGATTGTGTCCAAACCATTGCTGAGGTGTTTTCTGGCCATCTGGATCTGGGTGACCAACCACTTGAGGATACAGATAAAGACCTGTTTACAGATAGCAGCAGCTGACACGCATGTGCTGTCCTCTGCCACAGCCACTGCGTGCGCACAGGCAGGTTTGTCATGTCACTGGTTTACCTCGGCTGGCCGCTCCACGTGGTGAGGAGAATGCGCCGCTGCCTGCCGCAACCAGGCTGGGGTCTGGGTGGCATAGCACAGGTAACGTGGACTCTCATGCTGCTTGCAGCGTCCCCTTCCCCGGAGTCCACAGGTGTGTGAAAAGGGCAAGGGCCATTTGCTGGTCTCCTTCAGGGGATGCCTGTTTTTCTCCCTCATTACAAATATTTTCCCGCCACACTGCTCTTAATGCTGTTGTCCAGCAATTTACATTGGCCTTTCAAGCCATGGCCACCAGCAACACAGCCACCAACCATGCTGGCAGCCTGTCTCCCTCCTCTTGTCCCTTCCTGGCACGGAGGGGGGGAGGGAAGGAAGGAACAAAGGGAAGGAAGGAAGGAAGGAAGGAAGGAAGGAAGGAAGGAGGGGACGGAGGGACAATGAGAGGGAAGAGGGAGGGAAGGAAGGACTTTCATGCTGCAACCCTTCCCCATCTGCGTTTCTTACCTGTTTGTTACTTCCACCTGTGTGCAAACCCAGCCTGTTTTCTGACCTCTTCTTTCTCGCCCCTCCTCCTCCTTTTACCTTTGGTGCAGTTCCAGTTGACTCTTCCTTCTCCTCCCAAGGTTGCATCTTTTTTTTCTCTCCCTCCTGCCCAAACTGCCTCCTTTTATAACCTCTCCTGTCTCTGTTCCCTCCCCCTCCATTCTCTTCAGGGTGTGCCGGAAGTGCTGATCCTGAGGCCTTTGCCTCGCCCCAGCAGCCCTGCAGCTCCTGAGGGCTCTCAAGGCAAGTCCTGCGCTGCACCAGTTTGGCTCATTCCCTCCCCCGCTACCCTGGGCTGGGCTGGGCAGGGCCGCATACCACCTGCCACATGCCAATGTACCACCGGTTGAAAAGCCCTGCCATAGAGAATTTGCCAAAACCTGGGAAAAGCTAATCTGTGTTTGTGGCCTTCAAAGCTTTAATAACAAAGAACAGCTGTGACAAAAAGAGAGAGACAACACTCTGGGTTGCAGACAAAGAGAGAATTATAAACTTTAGAAAAAAAATCTTTTTTGAACTCTTTGGATTACAAATATCTATTTAACCGGGATTCTAAAGCTAGAATCAAAAAGAAATCCAAAATAAATTTGAAAATATAAATTAATATATTTCTAAGTTAACTCTACAACAAAAAAACTTCCAGGTAACAGCAACAGAGAAGAAGCAGACAAAGCAAATAAGTGGATGTAAAATGGAAAATAGAGACTCAAAGATGGAACTTAACAAAGCAAGAAAACATGATTTAATCCTAGTGGGAAAAAATTCAGAAGAAATGGAAAAAACAACTCATCCCTTAAGACTACAAAATAAATCTGAGGACAAAAAAACAGATTGGATAAAATGGAATGTAGAGATGTTGAAAACATCAGAGAGAAAGGAAGTGATAAGAGAAGCAAAGAAGAAGAAAAAGATTTTCAAGAAACACAGAAAGGCAAAAACCTCATATAAAGACACTTTATTCAATTTACTTCTTATACCTACAGCAACAGTCATGAATATATGGGAAAACTTTTTGATTCAGCAAAATACATTGATCAAGAAACATACTGGTCAAAGGAAAAAAATTAAAGTGAAAATTAAGAAAATATATTATGGGATCTACCAGAGAGAATATTTTAAAAAGAAACATTTGTTTCAATATGGTTAAAGAAATAGAAAAGATTTTGAACACATATGTCATTCTAAGAAGGATGAATTTGTTAAATAATACTGTATGCTTTCACCCCTTTTTATTTTATTTCTTGATATAAGTAATATAATACTGTTGAAATGGCTTAGATGAAGGAAATGTTTTAGATAATTAAATGTGTTTGAATTTAGGGAAATTATAATGTATAAAAAAGAAAAAAATATTTTGAATAAGAGTTAAAATTTGGGGAATGAATATATATTAGCAGGAGGAATATATTTTTTAAGTAGTATTTTACTTTTTATGTTTGTTTACTCTTGCTATCCTTTTCTTTTGTTTACTGTTTTTACATATTCTTTAAGAAATGTAAATTGTGGAGATGGTTTTTATGGGAAAATAGATTTAAATCTTTAAATGTAATTAACTGTTGAGAATCTTAACCTGCAAGAATACTTTGAACTTTATGGGAGAAACATATTTTAAAAAGGACTGTAACAGGATATAAGATGAGGCAACCAGAATGATTAGATAGAAAAGAAATATTATACTGATGTGATCATTATTTCTAGGAATATTGTGGAAAATCATATATGTAACTGTTATTTTTCAAAATAATAAGAACTGCATTAATTCAAGGTTTGGGGAAAAGGGGAAATCAACTAAATGTACTATGTGGATTAAAGATTATAGAAACCAATTGTTAATGATTTTTCTTTACAAATGTAAACCCAGCAAAGACACTGTTTACCAACTGTTAAGTGATTTATGTTTTAAAAAAATCAATAAAATATGTGATTTTAAAGAAACTTATTACTAAGTAATTCTGAAAAAACCTCATGAACTTTTAGGATTCAGCATATGGCTGATCACAAGCTAAGTCGCATCGCATTTTATTATTTCACTTGGTTCAGTTACAAAGATCGGTTGCTTAAAGTCGAAGACTATTTGATAGCATACAATAAGTGAAAATATCTTGCAAACGCCTTAGGTAGAGATGAGACAAGTTTGTTTTTTTTCTGCTCCCTAGCAGGAGATGGCGGTCAAATACGTTTTCTCAAAATAGGTTTTTAAGAAGAGACTGAACAACCACCTGTCTAAAATGGTATAGGGTCTCCTGCTTGAGCAGGAGGTTGGACTAGAAGACCTCCAAGATCCCTTCCAGTTCTATTCTGATAGATTGAACAGGCAACATCTGTCTCTACAAAGCGGATACTGTAATTCAGCAGGCAGCCTCTTTGGTTGAATTTAAAGGAGTTAAAACCATAGAGTACTGCATTGCTGGACAGGATGGGAAGAGGAGAAGGGCAAAGGAACTTCCTCTTCCGCGTCACTCATGGGAGGAAGGAGGCGTGCGGGGGGGGGGGGGGGCTTTTGTGCTCTTTCAAGGACCGAAGTAGCAGCTGGGAGGTGAGTTGAAGAGAGGTCGGAGGAGAGGCTGGGAGCGAGTCGGGCTGTTTGGTTTCCTCCAGGGCGTCCAAGCAGAGAAGCAGCTAGGCTGAAGCATGTCAGCTGCTGCTGCTGCAAATCCCTTCCCTCCCCAACTTTAAGTCCACTGATGCTGCAGGCTGTTAAACTGGGGGGCTGCAATTTTCTGCTGGTGGGAAGATTTTAAAAGTCTCTTTCAAGTGAAGGTTGATTCTTTGGGAATGGCTTCCCTCCAGAGGTTGTGGGTGCTCCGTCATTGGAGGTTTGTAACAGGGTTGGAAGGAACCTTAGAGGTCTTCTATTCCAACCCCTGATCAAGCAGGAGACCCTATACCATTTCAGACAAATGGCTGTCCCGTCTCTTTAAAAGCCACCACTGATGGAGCATCCACAACTTCTGAAGGCAAACCGTTCCACTGATTAATTGTTCTTTTATTCTTGTGTTATTTGTACAAAAAGCAAGGCATGCATGCTTATTTAGTTTCTTTATATTTATACACATACTTGTCTAATTTTAAAGTTATCTGACTACAGTAAGTTATTCCCCACAAGGCTATTCAGGTTACTATGCCCAACAAGGCTACTCAAGTTGCTGTAAGTATTGCTACCCAACTAGGTTACTCATTCACACAATACTCAGATATCCTCTCAACACAGGCAATCATGCTATGTTAGAATGGGCTGGAAAGCAGATTCAGGGTGTCCCCTGCTCCAACAAAGGTGTCTTGAAATTTGGGATCTGATTCATCCCACTCCTTACGCCCACTGATGCTCTACCTGGTATCACGAACAATAGATCGTTCATACAGGCACTCAGAATCTTTCCTTATCAGTAGTACACACATTCCAGCAACATGAGTTTCTCCAATGTGAGCTCATGAAAAGGCTAACTATGGTTGCATTACAGGCCCTCTATATTCATAACTTATATTTGTGATCTATTCATAACTTGTAACATAAAATATGTAACAAAGATCTCCTCGCAGTTACTGCTATTGAACCATGTTCCACCTATTCTGTACCTTGACATTTGCTTTTTCTTGGCTAAGAGTAAAACCTAATTTTTTTCCTCCATTGGATTTCAATTTTTTAGATAGGTCCCAGAGTTCAAATATATCAAGATACTTCCGTATCTTGAGCTTGTCTTCTGGGTGTTGGCTATTTCTGCCAGCTTAGTGTCATCTCCAAATTTGATAAGTTCCTGTTCTATTCCCTCATCTATATTGTTTATGAAAATATTGAATAGTGGGCCTAAGATGGAGCCTTGCAGTACCTCACTGCTTCTTGCACTCCATATAGATGTAGTTCCATTAAGAACTTTCGTGGAAAAACCCAATGAAGAAAACAAGAGACAGCAACACAAAGCAATACTTCTTACTTTTAGATTCAGAGGTTAACAATAACAATAATAATAATAATAAAGTTTGAAGTGACTTTGGAGGTCATCTAGTCCAAACCCCTGCTCAGGCAGGAAACCCTATATACCATTTCAGACAATATTATTTCAGCAATAATTTGGAACACACAAATAAACATCAGTTACATTAAAAATCCATTGCAATGAGGTCCAGTGACAAAGCAATTCCAATAAGACAGCTATAGGCCAATGGCAAATCAATCAGCCCTGGTCCCAATCTCTTATACCCTTTCCTGTCCTAAGACCGTACACGGACGGTCAGCAATCTTAAAGTGTCTGCTGACTTTCTGCTGACCCTTTGCTGAACATAACTTTCCACATACTCGTGTATATTGGAACCCGCATCCATCAGCTACTTTCAGTTCCCTATTTCTTACAGTTCCAGTCCTTATGTTCTAAATATATTTGAAACAAGCAAGGTTAGCAAAAATCATATTGAATGAAGTATTGTTGCAATCTGCAAAATTAAGCATAGCACAGGCTTTGGTTCAATACTTTTTCCATGAGGCCTGATTTAGTTCACCTGGGCCTAAATCTTGCGTAGAAGAACAATTGCCAATATTTTCGTTTTCCGCAATTCCCACTTCTTGTCTGTAAGGACAGCACAAATCATAAAGCAAGAAGATTGGAGGGACTCTGGGGTGAAGGGTCTACAGTTGTTCCATAGGGGCATATAAGGAAAGTATTTTATTGGGAAACACATACAATCTCAGTAGGCTTAAGACTCATGATAAAAGAGTACAGAGCTTTATGCCAATAAACAACAACACAACTACAGTCCATACAGCAGGCATGAGGCATTTTCCGGTGCAGATCGTTTCCTTCATGTACATTTGGACTTCCATTGTGTTGGAAAAGGTGGTGTGAAAATTTTCAGTTGTCTGAGTAAGGCGGATCGAAGTTCACTTCTGTCTGGGCCGGATTGCATACTAATGGGGAACAGAGGTTACTAGTATTGCTTCCATGTTGGGCAAAGGTTCAGTCTTTGCCTCATTGTGGTCATTTGGTTGGGGTCTGTGACTTCTTCATCTAGGGGCTGGTCTTCTTCTTCTCGGGCCATATCTGTTATCGGACATTGGCAATCATGTTGGCGATCCTGTTTTTATCAGCAGCCGCACGAAAAAATGCTACTGAGTTTGTCCAAACCAGTCCTTTAGATTTTGAAGCCATGATGTTCTTCTGCCTGGACCTCGTTTGCTTTCAATCTTTCCCTGGAGGATTAAATGGAGTATGCTGTATTTTTCTGGGCGTCGCATCACATGTCCGAAATATTCTAACTTTCGCTTTTTAATTGTTTTGATTTCTCTTGGCTTTCCAAGGCGGCTTATCACCTCATTTCTGATCTTGTCAAACCAGCTTATACGTAACAGCTGTCCGTAAATCCATATTTCAAATCCCTTGTAGTCTCTTCAGGTGGCCTTCTGTCAGAGACCAACTCTCTACTCCATGGAGCAGGATCGAAAAAATATAACATCTGACAAGCCTGATTTTCAATCTTAGGCTTATGTCGTGACTGCAGAAGACATTTTTCATTTTGAAGAATGCTGTTTGGGCTTTCTCTATCCTTGTCTTTACTTCAATGGTCATGTCTCAGTTTCCAGTTAATTAGAACCGAGATACGTGATCCTTTCAACTTTTTCCAATGGTATTCCTTCCAAATTTATTGGTGGTAAATTAATGGGTTGTTTGTTGATGACCATGATCTTGGGGGCTGGTACTTTCTTACAATGCGAAACATATCCAGAAGCCAGATCTTGACACGTCACAGCATTGTTGTTCAACAAAATTTGGAATGGTCCCTTTCAACGAGGAACCAAACAATTTTTTAGCCAAAATACTTTAGTTAGAACCGGATCACCAATCTTCAAGGCGTAACAAAGATGTAGTGGTTCCTTGGAGAAAACCATCGCAACTTGGGAATGATAGTTTTTTTAGACTCAGAAGCTACATGAGTAAAGTGTACCAATGTGAAAGGAGACAAATTAATAAAAAAGTTCTATGATAAATATCCTCACAAGCCTTGAAGAAATACTTAACCTGCTTTTTGATTCCCCTACGGGAAACTCTTTCTTTTTGAGAGGGGCCGGCTGTCAACTCTACAAATGAGCATGGCTACAGCCAAGTTCCTTCTCATTCTAGGTTTCCTCATAGAATGGAGGGAGGGGATAGCCCAGGTGCTTCCTTAATCAAAATAATCCTTTCTCCTGTGGGAATCAAGGTCATTGGCTACTTCTGAAACTGCAGGCTGGGCATTGCGTAAAAAACCTGCAGAAAAGATGTACTGGGGAATGTAGTTGCTTGCATAATTTTATGGATGGGATTTTTTAACTTTGCATTGGGGAATTGTTACGTGTGTATCCAGACTTGGTTTCACTTTTGATTGTGCCAATACTTTATAACTAATAAACATGTGCTTTGAGAACTTTGCAAGCCTCGGAGTTCTGGTTTATTCATCTCTATCTGTCAGAACCATGACATACAGTTTATTGGTGAGTGTATTTATATTTCTCTCTGTATGCATATATCTACAACTGTATAATCTATCCCCATCACTTCCAGGTATATTTAATAATAACAACAACAACAATAACTACTTTATCGTTCTTTGAATGTACACCAATTGGCATACATCAAAATGATATTTCGTTGCATACAGCTCTCAAAGGGTCATCCACCTCTGATATACGTTCCTTGTATGTGGCCAGCTGAAGTTTCGGATCATCCATTTTAGTCTCTAGGAAGCGAACAGTGGCAAACAGGACAGAAGAAATGGAGCTTCATGTGGATTAGCCCTCAAATTAGTTTGTATTTCCGCATGACAACCTCGCCTCCGTTCCTTTCTTTGATCCTGACTCTTCCATCTTTTCCTTAAAGAGGCCTTGCTTCTTTTCACCCCTGGAGCCTTATCTGTCTCCCACCCATCGGGACAGTGAGGCTTTGGTATGTCCCATTGGTGGATTATCCATCTCCTGTATTGGAGAAGGGGCGTTGGTCTTACCTGAACGCCTTTTCTCAGTACGGAGATGGAGAATCCACACCCACCCTAAGGTCAATTAGGCCAACCTTCAGCCACTTCGCCCTCGTTAAGAATGGATCCCCTGGCAAGAGGGGGACTTTTAACGGTCTCAAGAGCAGGCAGACAGAGAAACCCATTGGTGGATTCTCCATCTCCGTACTGAGAAAAGGCATTCAGGTAAGACCAATGCCCCTTCTCTCTGTATGCATATATATACAATTGTATAATCTATCCCCATCACTTACAAGCATATTTAATAATAATAACAACAACAACAATAACAACCAGTTTTGGTCACCACAATGTAAAAAAGATGTTGAGACTCTAGAAAGAGTACAGAAAAGAGCAACAAAAATGATTAGGGGACTGGAGACTAAAGCATATAAGGAACGGCTGCTGGAATTGGGTATGTCTAGTTTAATGAAGAGAAGGACAAGGGGGGACATGATAGCAGTGTCTCAGAGGCTTTCACAAAGAAGAGGGAGTGAAGCTATTTTCTAAGGTGCCCGAAGGCAGGACAAGAAGCAATGGATGGAAACTAATCAAGGAGAGAAGCAATCTAGAACTAAGGAGAAACTTCCTGACAGTGAGAACAATTAACCAGTGGAACAATCTGCCTCCAGAAGTGATGAATGCTCCAACACTGGAAGTTTTTAAGAAGAGACTGGACAGCCATTTGTCTGAAATGGTATAAGGTTTCCTGCCTGAGCAGGGGGTTGGACCAGATGACTTCCAAGGTCCCTTCCAACCTTATTATTATTAACTTTATTGTTACTTGAATGTACACCAAAATGATATTTCGTTGCATTCAGCTCTCAGAGGGTCACCACCTTTGATATACGTTCCTTATAAGTGGCCAGCTCAAGTTTCGGATCATCCATTTTAGTCTCTAGGAAGTGAACGATGGCAAACAGGACAGATGCAATCGGAACTCCATGTGGATTAGCCCTCAAATTAGCTTGTGTTCCCGCATGACAATCTCGCCTCCGTTCCTTTTTCTGATCCTGTCTCTTCCACCTTTTCCTTAAAGAGGCCTTGATTCTTTTTGTCCCTGGAGCACGCTGCCGCTGCCACCAACTCCTCCAAAAGCCTCTTTCTCTTCCTCTGGGCCTGCTGACAGCCTCATCCACTCTCTTTGCTCCATAAGCCCCGGGCCCTTTCCTCCTCTGCCCCGTTTGGAAACGGCCTTGATCTGCAATAAAATCCATCACTGGGCCAGCAGTCAGATCTTGTTGCTGGCAGAACAATTTCAAACAGCACCAATGACTTTTAACAGTCTCACCAACAGTTCTGAAACAGCTAGAAACTCGCCATGCCAGCAAAGATTGTCGGTCGTATGTTATCTTAGTTCCACCACATTGCTCAAACACATTAAAACCTTCCCCATCATGTGGCCTATATCCCTTATATCCCTTCCAAAACCTTTCACCTTCAAGAACCAATACAGCCACAACCGATCCAGGCACCGCCATCTTAGAACTTTTTGAACCTTTTGCAGTGCTAAGATCCTGCCTGCCTTCTCTTGCTTTCACTAACTCTCAATAAAAGTTCCTTTTGAAAAGCTGCCAGTTTCAAAAGTTCTACTTTCTTGAGAGATTCAGCTGAGGTAGAGCCTTACAACTTTTATGTGTCAAATGAATCATAATTAATGTAAGAGGTTATTCTAGCATTATGGCATGTTTGCTTTTTCGTTGTACTATATATATATTGCTTTCTTTCACATCTTCTGAAATCATTTTATGCACAATTAAAGTTAAACTTTAAATTTAAATTTTGGGCTCAGTTGTGGTCGTAAGTTGAAGACTACCTGTATTTGAACTTGGATGTTGGTAGTGTTCCATGTGTCAAAGGAATCATGATTAATGTAAGAGTTATTCTAACATTGTGGCATGTTTGCTTTTTATTTTAATGTGTAGTTTTTTCTTTTTTTCATATTTTCTACAACAATTTTATAAACAATTAAAATTACACTTTTCTTTAAATCTTATAGGCAAAGCAGATGACAATAAGAGCACTCTGGACAACTGAGAATAAGAAGCAATGTTGAAAGAAAATCGACCCAGAAATCAAAATATTTTCCATTTTCTTTAGAAAGCCACACCATTCTCCTTCTCCAGCAGCTGATAGACAAAAAGAGAGAAAATTAAGAAAGATTTCAAGCTGGAATAAGTAGAGCATATGGAACTCAAGGATACATTACATGAAAAGTCAAGGGAGATTATTCTTTATTCAGTAAAAGAGGGAAATATCTGGAAGTCACTGGTTAGGAAAAAGTCACTTGGAGAGCCACGTAGTGCAGACAGTGATGCAAGCCATGCTCTGGGAGGAAAAAACCAGCTTTAATTTAAAAAAAAACATTAAAAAGGGATCACACATGTTTTTGACATCCTCAAGGATATAAGTGGTGGAGAAGCTCCATAGATGTGCTTATTGTGGGAAAGATACAACTTGCTAATCACAGCTGATTACGTATGGAAGGATCCATATAGGAGAGAATCCATAAAAGTTCTCCCAATGTGGTAAATACTCTATTGAGCATGGCAATATGGTGATACATCAGAGGACTGACACCACGTATGAGTGTCCAGAATATGTGAAAGTTTCATTGAAAATTCTCACCTCTTGAGACAACAGGACTCACACAGGAGAGAAACACTTTGAATGTGTTGATTATGGGAAACGTTTCACTGGAAATTCCTACTTTGGGAGACACCAGAGGACTCACATTGGAGAGAAATCCTTCCAATATCCCAATTGTGGGAAACGTTTCATTAAAAATTCCAACCTTGTGAAACATCAGAGGATTCACAAAGGAGAGAAACCCTTTGAATGTCCTGATTGTGGGAATAGTTTCAGCGAGAATTCCCACCTAGTGATACATCGGAGGACTTGCACAAGAGAGAATCGTTTTGAATGTCCTGATTGTGGTAAAGGTTTCAGTGACAGTTCCAGCCTGGTAAAACACCAGAGGACTCACACAGAAGAGAAACTCTTTGAAAGTTCTTAATGTGGGAAAAGTTACATTAACATTTCTAGCCTGGTGAGACACCAGAGGACATGCACAGGAGAGAAACCCTTTGAATGTCCTGATTGCAAAAAATGTTTCAGTCACAATTCCAGTCTGGTGATACAAGAGAGGACTCACACAGGAGAGAGAAACCTTTTGAATATGTTGGCTGTAGGGAACATTTCATTAGAAATGCCTACTTTGTGAGACACCAGAGGACTCACACAGGAGAGAAACCCTTTGAATGTCCTGATTGTGGTAAAGGTTTCAGTAACAATTCCAGCCTGGTAACACATCAGAGAACTCACACAGGAGAGAAACCCTTTGAATGTCTTGATTGTGGAAAAAGTTTCAGTAACAATTCCAGCCTGGTGAGACACCAGAGGACTCAAACAGGAGAGAAACCTTTTGAATGTGTTGATTGCGGGAAATGTTTCTTTAGAAATTCCCACTTTTTGAGACACCAGAGGACTCATACAGGAGAGAAACCCTTTGAATGTCCTGATTGTGGCAAAGCTTTCAGTAACAATTCCAGCCTGGTAGCACACCAGAAGACTCACATAGGAGAGAATCCTTTTGAATGTCCTGATTGTCGTAAAGGTTTCAGTAACAATTCCAGCCTGGTGATACACCAGAGGACTCATACAGGAGAGAAACCTTTTGAATGTCCTTATTGTGGTAAAAGTTTCAGTAACAATTCTGGCCTGGCGAGACACCAGAGGACTCACACAGGAGAGAAACCCTTTGAATGTCCTGATTGCGGTAGAAGTTTCAGTAACAATTCCAGCCTTGTGAGACACCAGAGGACTCACACAGGAGAGAAACCTTTTGAATGTCCTCATTGTGGTAAAGGTTTCAGTAACAGTTCCAGCCTTGTGACACACCAGAGGACTCACACAGGAGAGAAACCCTTTGAATGTCCTTATTGTGGTAAAGGTTTCAGTGACAGTTCCAGCCTGGTGAAACACCAGAGGACTCACACAGGAGAGAAACCTTTTGAATGTCCTTATTGTGGTAACTGTTTCAGTAACAGTTCCAGCCTGGTGACACACCAGAGGACTCACACAGGAGAGAAACCCTTTGAATGTCCTTATTGTAGTAAAGGTTTTAGTAACAATTCCAGCCTGGTAACACACAAAAGGACTCACACAGGAGAGAAACCTTTTGAATGTCCTGATTGTGGGAAAAATTTCATAAGTAATTCCCATTTCATGAGACACCAGAGGACTCACACAGGAGAGAAACCCTTTGAATGTCCTGTTTGTGGTAAAGATTTCAGTAACAGTTCCAGTCTGGTGACACATCAGAGGACTCACACAGGAGAGAAACCCTTTGAATGTTGTGATTGTGATAAAAGTTTCAGTAATAATTCCAGCCTGGTGAAACACCAGAGGACTCACACAGGAGAGAAACCCTTTGAATGTACTGATTGTGGTAAAAGTTTCAGTAACAATTCCAGCCTAGTGAGACACCAGAGGACTCACACAGGAGAGAAACCCTTTGAATGTACTGATTGTGAAAAAAGTTTTAGTCACAATTCCAGTCTGGTGATACACCAGAGGACTCACTCAGGAGAGAAACCCTTTGAATGTGTTGATTGTGGGAAAGGCTTCATTAGAAATTCCCACTTTGTTAGACACCAGAGAACTCACATAGGAGAGAAACTGTTTGAATGACCTGATTGTGGGAAAACTTTGAGAAAGTATTCCAGTCTGGTCATACACTAGAGGACTCATACAGAAGAGAAACCATTTGAATGTCCTGTCTGAGAAAAGTTTCAGTCAGAATTCCAGCCTGGTGAAACACCAGAGGACCCACAAAGGAGAAATTGTGATCTCCCATTGGAAGTGTAGTTGAGAAATTGACTATTTTAATTCTGGCCTGATTCTTTTTACTCAAACATGTCTCAGGATTAGACTTGTAGGTGGAGAGAAAAGGAAAATGGAAAAAAGCTAACTACCTATTTCTGTTTATCAGCAGCATACTGGATATTTCCTTTTGCAGAAAGAGTGGAATTCCTCAAAAAGGCTTTTGGGTGGTGTTTTTGTATATTGATGATAGGATTCCCACATCTGGAGTTTTAGTCTTCTGTTGGTGTCCTCCAGATTTTGAGCCTCTCATTTCCTCCAGCCAGCAAAGAAGTAGTCTTCAAGATATGTGTAATAAGGCCTGCCAATTACCATTGCATGTTGCAGTGGTTGTTAAGCAAGATTACCTTGCTGAACTACCATTGTCTCACTGATGAAGCTGCTAAATGAATATGTAAGTCGCTAAGTGGAACATTGGCTACCTCAGGTTTGGGGGCATAGCACAGATCCAGGTTTGCCTTCCCATCGCCTCCCCTTCCTCAACTCTTGGGATTCCCCCCCAGGCCTTTCCCACTCTCACAAGATCCCCAAAGACTTTTAACACCCAAAAGATCTTCACAGGCTTTTCTCACTCCCACTGGGTCCCTGGAGTCCTTAATCCTGACTCCCACACCACCAGGATGCACATCCTCCTCTTCCTTTCCTTTAAAGATTTCTGATCCTTATGTTAGGGAAGGAGGGAAGGTCACATATCCCTAAGCTGCATGACTATGTCCTGGAAGCGGCAGTCATTTTCTGTGTTACTGGGATTCATTCCTGAGCCATGTGGTGGACTTGTGGAAATGATTGCCATTTTGTCACACCTCCTCAGGGCCAAAATGGTGGCTTCTTCTGAATCATTGTCATGCGGGAGAGGGAGAAAATGCTTGCTTTGCTACTTTAACACTATGCAGACAACCTTAAGGAATTGTGGGTTCACTGAAAATGTTGGCTGCCTCTGGGAGATTTTCAAAACATAAGTCTACGGTGGCTGACAGGCATGTGGGCAGTTGCCCAAGGCCCAGTGAAAAAAAGCAGGGTAAAATTTCACATATAGAGGCTGTTCTACCTTGCAGATGAACCCAATGGTGAAGAGCTGTAGAAATATTGAGTTGAGGAGAAAAGGGATTGTAACTTTGATCACAGGATCTGTGAGATGTGCAGTGAATAAGTTTAATAATACCAGTGGTGAGGTCACCAAACATACAGTGGGTTTCTAACACACTACAATTGTTAAGATACCCTTTATATGGTCTCTTCTGCATTGTGCATTTCTATGATCAATCTGTCTTCCTCAGCTTCCTTTCCCTCATTATAAATTTAAAATTTAAATTTGAATTGTACATCTGTCCAGCCACTGTGTGACTTATGTGAACTGCAGATAGGCATCTGCCTCTTAATTTATTGTTGCATTGCTATCTGTCCCCATTCCTAAATTCTTTGAAAATATTATCTTTTTTATGCACAATTAAAAAATTAGAATGGCTAACCTAGTTCTGTTTTAATTGGCTTTCTTCTCAGATTCATGGATGGTCTTCTTCATCTTTGCCAGTCTGAGAGAAGGCAAGTGGGACATTTCAAAAAGACAACTAAACTATGGTCTCCCTCATAACTTACAACCCCCTAAAGCAGCCTTTGGTTGTACCAGTGGGTTTGTAGTTTTTGAAAATCATAGAATTACAGAGGATCTGTCTGATTTCCCTGAAGATTCTCCCAATTCTGAACAGGAACCAACAGACATTTTGAAAGTTGGGGTCCCCATGGATGGAAACAGTATGTCATAGTTCCGACAGACAGTGATGAATAAAGCAGAACTCCAAGGCTTGCAAATTCCTCCAAGATCATATTTATTTGTTACAAAGTATCGGCATGGTCCAGAGTGAAACCAAGTCTGAATACACAAATAAAAATTTCCCAATACAAAGTAAAATGTCCCACCCATAAAACCATGCAGCCAACTACGTTCCCCAATATGATCATTTGGCCGGCTTTTTATGCAACACCCAGTCCCCAATCCTGGGAGCAGCTGATAACCTTTGTTCCCACGGGACAAGAGATTATGCACACATGGATATTCTACATACATTCATATGTAGAACATATGAATGGACAAGAGATTATACACCTGTATTTCTCTGTCTGTGTGTATATAGGCTGTTCTACACAGATAATCCTTGAATTACAACTAAACTTCAGACTAGAATTTCTGTTGTGAAAGTAGTTCTTAAGTGAGTCACATCCAATTTTACAACCACTTTGCCACAGTTAAGCAAATCACCGCAATTGTTAAAGGCATGAATCATATGATCATTGAATCAGGCTTTCCCTACTGAATTTGCTTGCTGGAAGCTGGCTAGGAAAGTCATAATAAATGGTGATTACATGATACAGGGTTGCTGCAACTATTCTAAATACATGCTACTTGCCAAGCACCCAAATTTTGATGCATCAGTAGTAATTGCAAGGACTGGTTGTAATTCAATATTTCAGTGCTGTTGTAACTTTCAATTGGTCACTAAATGAATGGTTGTAAGTCAAGGATGACCTGTATAATCTATCCCCAGCATTTCCAGATATATTTAGTGATAACCCCATTGCAGTGCTGAGATTTTGTGATTGACACAAGTCAACAAGTTTATCTCATGATTGAATGGATATTTAAACCTGACTCACACTAGGCTTCTATATTGAAAATGAATCATAATTAATGTAAGAGGGTAAGTTATCATTTTGACATGTTTCTCTTTTCCTTATAATGTATGCTTTTCTCTTTTTTCCAATGTCGTGCATCCATTTTATACACCAAAATTAAACTAATCCTTTTATGTGAATCTTATAGACAAAGAGAATGCTAATAAGAGCACTGTGGAGAATTGAGAATCTTAAGCAGTGTTAAAATGGAGAGCAAATCAAGCCAGCAATCACAATTTTTTTTTCATTTCCTCCATAAAAGTACAGACTCTTCTTCTTCCTCAACAGCTCAGACAAAGGAGAGAAAATCAGAAAAAGAATTTTGAGCTGGAAAATAAAGTATATGGAATTCAAGGGAACATTACATGAAAAAATCGGGGGGGGGGGGGAATTGTTTCCAAACTCAGAAAAAGTGGGGAATACCTGGAAATCAGTGGGAAGGAAAAGGCCACTTGGGTGGCCATGTAGGCAGGGCAGACAGTAATATAGGCCTCCCCCTGTGAGGAAGAAAACAGTAGCTGCAATCGAAGCTCCATCCAAAAAGGCATTCAGAGTACTTTTGACTTTCTTGATAACGTGTTTAGAACATGGCTCAATATCCCCAAACAAACAAACTCACTTGGAATTCCAGGTCTTGTGGAAAAATAAAGCCTTAAAAAATAAAGGGCTTTTACGAAATTCCATGGGTGAAAGAGAGATCTTTATTTTTGCGCAAAAGGTTCAGAAGTGATTTAACAATCAGCAAATTTCTGAACAAGGGGGGGAGGGTCTAAACTAAAGCTTTATAGGTTTCTTTCTCTCAGGAACAAAGGAAGCATAGATGGAATCTTACATTGTATATGGAATCTACTTTTGTGTAACATTCAGATAGTTTCTCACACGTTAGGTCCATTTCTCATGGGAATACAATGAAGGCAGTTTTTACTTTTATACAATGTTTCTAAATATGCATTAGGTCATTCACGTACTGTTAATACAGCTTTTGGCTAACACAGCTTTCTTTCAGAGATTATGCAGACACATGATTTTTGCTTTTAGTGATTTTTCATTATTATTATTATTATTTTACTTTATTCTTCTTTATTCTATGTTATTCTATTTCTTTCCCACTTTACTCCCCCCTTTTGGAAGTTTTCCAGCTTAAACTTCCATTATTCTACCTCTGATTCCGGATCTCCTGAAGGTACCATTTTATATTCCCATAAGGCTAACATTGTTTCATGTTTCGCTGTTAATTGGGCTGTACTTTCTGAGATCCTCCGAATCATGGCTATAAGACAGGGGATCAAGCAAGGAATTAAAATACACCCTAGAATTAACAAGACTTGCAGGCCTATAAACCTTCATAGTTATAGCAGCCTTGTTAATTCCAAGATCCATAGTAGTGGTCTCATTGGTTCCAGACCACCATTTACCATCTTCCCATGTCCCTGTGCATAGGAGGTCACCTACTGCTACACAAGATTCTGTTTTGTTTCTTGAGTAACATACATGTCCTACCAAGTTGGAAGTGAGACCCCAATCACCATCTTTCCCACTTGTATAGGTTAAATTATTATTTTTAGACATTTCTAGTACCTTGGTATAATTTAACTCTTGTGCCTCCCATGGCCACCTTTCTCCCATGTTTGTTCCACCACACACAAAACAGTTAGACACGCCTAAAGTATGGGCAATGTCTTCTGCTAACTTAACAAAGGTATTGGTTACATGTCTAGATACTTCAGGAATATGTAGGTTCTCCATTTCCTCATAATATGACCAAAATAATGATTTTTGTTCTGGTCTTTTGGTTGCAGTTATAATTTTGACTTCTATTTCTGACATTGGCTCATAGCCATTTGTATCTATTCCTATCCCAAACATCCATTTCTTACCTTCCCACCTATTTTGTTCTAGGAACCAACTGCCATTCTTGACTGTGAGAGTCACCAAATTACAGTTATCCGTTCCACAGGAATCTGCTTTTGTTTCATTCTTTTCAAACAAGATGTGGTCTATCTCTTTTGGGTCTTGGGTATGCCACTTAATACATGACCACCACTTACATTTGACCGCACATCCATCTGGTGGGCACAAGTACTTATGTTTTGGGATAAAGTTGTGAATATTACCGATCCCTCCGCAACCATATGTTGGAGTCCAATAATTAGCTGCTTTGCAAACATCAAAGGTGACGCTAAAACTGGAGTGTGGATTGGATTTCCATTGGGAGATCCCTAAGAGTGCCTGGTCCTTATAGCTAGTTCTTGTTCTATGTGTTTTGATTTGTAAGGCCCAACGATCAGGATCAGACTTCGGGTTATAACACTGATATTGGACACCTTTTCTACAAACTTTATATGTAGTTCTATTGTATGTACAAGAGTCAGGAGAACTATCTTGGCACCCTTATGGTTTAACTGTATGGTAAATCAAAGTCTTGGTTATCTGGTTTCCTTGTTTTGTAGTTTTGATACAGTTTTGACAACCTTGGTTTCCCTGTGTTTCTGCTCTTTCTTGGTGTGTGCTACTCTATAATTCTTTATTAGAGGGTTTCTGCATTATGACCTCTCGTGTAGCCATTGTACTGATTTGTGTAGGAATGTGTGTGCATATTAAATAATTAACAAATATTACGAGCTGTAGAATCCTCATATCTTCCACCGTGCGTAGAGAGACAGCTTCCTGGGGTGTCTCAGCAAGGTTGTTGATCACACCGTGTCTTGGGAACCCGTTGCTGTATTTCTTGTAAATTTCAACACCAAAGGCTTGTCAGTCTTGTCCACCTTGTAGGTCACCGGATCTGCAGGTGCAGCTGCTTTCACTCTACTCCAATGGATCCAAGATTTTCCTTCCAGGGTTTTCACTGCCAAAGGAGAACACATGACAACAGTATACGGTCCTTTCCATCTTGGGCTCAAGGGATCTGATTTCCAGTGCTTTACCCACACTCTATCTCCAGGCTTGAACCCATGTGTTGCTGTAACTACTGGAGGGGGTTGTTGTTCCATCATATAATGGCGCAATTTTGAAACGGCCAAATTATGAAGCTGTAACTGATGTAACAATTTCTGTTGATCTACTCCCCCCTTATGTGCCAAGTTGGGCCATCCTTGACTGTCAGGTTTAAACAGGCAAGGAGGACGGCCAAACATGAGCTCATAAGGACTAAGTTGTAATTTAGTGCGGGGGGCCAGTCTGATTGCATATAAAACCATAGGCAAAACATCTGGCCAGTGTAGATGAGTTTCCAAACAAAATTTGGTAATAAGTGTTTTAATTGTCCTATGGGATCTTTCCACTCTAGCAGCCGATTGAGGGCGGAAAGCACAATGAAATCTCCACTTAATTCCTAATGCTTGGGCTAAAGCCTGATTGATTTGGTGTACAAATTCAGGGCCATTATCTGATGAAATCCTAGATACATGAACCTTGTGACATCTGATTGGAGAGGGGGACCTTCTAATGCAGCTCTTTTTGCTTCTTTGTCTGCCTTTCTATTGCCCTGGGTAATAAGGCTTGAGTCTTTTTGATGTCCAGGACAATGGATGATTGCAACTTTGGATGGCAATTGTGCTGCCTTGATAAGTCTTTTAATCAAAGTTGCATATTGGATAACTTTGCCTGTGGAATCCAAATATCCTCTCTCTTTGTAGATAGCCGCATGTGCGTGTATTGTTAAAAATGCAAATTTACTATCTGTATATACATTTAAAGTCCTTCCCGCTGCTACTTCTAATGCACGGGTCAAGGCATATAATTCTGCAAACTGTGAACTGGCTTGACTAGGCAACTGTGCTGACTCAACAGTAGAAGTTTGAGAAACTATTGCGTAACCAGAGTATCTACATCCTTTATCCATAAAACTAGAACCATCAGTAAACCATTGATAGTCTGGATTATGCAAGGGTTGGTCTGTAAGGTCAGGTCTGCAAGAATATTGTAGTTCTATTGTTTGCATGCAGTCATGAACAGGTTTGGTTGAATCAGGAATTGGCATTAGAGTTGCTGGGTTTAAAGTTGAGCATTGTTGCAGTGTAACTTGTGGATTTTCTAATAAAAGAGCCTGTATTTTATGCATTCGTTGATTACTTATCCATAAATGTCCTTTATTGTCAATGATTGTCTGCAAGGCATGACTAGTATAAACAGTCACTGGAGCTGAAAAGGTTAACTTGTTTGCCTCCTGCAGTAATAGCATAACTGCTGCTAGAATTTTTAAACACTGGGGCCAGCCTTGTGAAGAAATGTCCAGGTGTTTTGACAGATAAGCGACAGGGCGGTTCCAACTTCCCTGTTTTTGTGTAAGGACCCCTAAAGCTACATTTTGTCTTACATCCACATAAAGTGAAAAAGGCTTAGATATATCAGGTAGTCCTAGGGCAGGGGCTGTGGTGAGAGCCTGTTGCAATTGTCTCATGGCTTGGGTTTGTTCCTCTTGCCACAACAGAGGTTCTTTTTCTGGTCCCCTTAAAACTTGGTACAATGGTTTAGCTGTGAGAGCGAAGTTAGGAATCCAAATTCTACAGAAGCCTGTAATTCCCAAAAAGGCTCTAACTTCCTGTTTTGTTTCTGGGATGGGAATCTGTAACACAGCTTGCTTTCTCTGGGGGCCCAAAGTTCTTTGTCCTTGTGAAAGTTCATAGCCTAAATACATTACAGTCTCTTGAACTAATTGTGCTTTCTTTTTGGATGCTCTATAACCACAGTCTTGTAACAATTGGAGCAGTCTGGACGTGTTTTCAAAGCAATCCTCCCTGCTTTGGCCAGTTACTAAGACATCATCGACATATTGAAGGCAACAATCCTCTTGTCTGACTAACTTCAGATAAGCAAGATCTTGGGCTAGGGCTTGACTAAACTATATTTTTAAATATACGGCTACCACAAGGATTTGATTGCTTGCCAATGGATTTATTTAGGACAGATCTGGTGGCTCCCGTGTCAACTAGCATCGGGACAACCTGTCCTCCCACCCTTATTTTAACAATGGGCTCTGGGGGTGGGCGATAGAACCCTGTCCTCTTCAGTCTTCCCATTCCAGTTCAGCTAAGCCGATCATGTTTTCTTCTCTTTCCTCTGTCTGATTGGGATAAACTGGATGCCCTCTTCCTTTGAAGCTCTTTCTGAAGCCTCTCTGGAAAGTCCCTCTAAATCCTCTTCCTCTTCCTCTTCCATACTGGCGAGATTGTCCCCTGGGTTGGCCATTCCTCTGGGGGCACTCCCTTTGCCAGTGTCCTTCTTATTTACAGATGGCACACTGATTGGGTCCTAGACATGTTCCTCCCAATGCCACGGTTAACATTTCAACGTTCTTTTTTTTCTTTTTGATCTGATTTGCGTTCCTCCTCCCTGTCACGGTTACGGAACATATTGAAGCATTGAAATATTAGTGTTATCTGGTCCAGGAACCAACACCTCTCTTAGAGGGGCAATATTTTCTTCTTTATTCCTAACTTGCTCCTGGTGCGGCTAGAAACTGAGGTTTCACTTTCAAAGTTATTCAAGCTTTTATCTGTTTCTTGAAGGGATTCAGCTGTTGCTAATTTTCCTTCCTCACCGGCTTCTGGCTGAAATTGGGCTTCTCTTTCAGGCAGAGGGAGTGGAATTTGCTGATTTATTCTCCCTTCTTCTCTTCTAGGAACATAGGGGGGTGGTCTGGCAATTTCCTCCCTATCTTCCTGGCTGAAAATCTTAGCTTTTGTTTGAGGCTTGGCTTTTTGGCTTGCCAAATATATCTTTGCACACTCTATCTGACATTTTGCTAACCATCTCTGTTTTTCTGCAATGTTGATTTTCCATAGGGGTGCTGGTCCCAATAACCATTTCCAGTCACAATTTGATGAACCCGTGCAACGAGTTCGGGATTCGCCGATCCCATTTTTGGCCACCCTACGCCCAGGGCAGTCCACTCAGATTCACAGAATCTTTTTAACATGGCTGGATTTGGTTTTGGATCTCCATAATCCCTAGAAAACCCCTTTTTGAACTTCGCACATGCACTGGAGTGGCGTCTGGTCAACGCTCTCCTTTGACTTTTTCCCACCCATTTCTCTAATACACTACCATCGATCACTCAGCATGAGCTACAATGGTTTAACCTCCCACACACTCCTGCCTATTGAAGGCTTAAGGACGCCACCTTTGCCTTCTAGGGGGTGATCAGTCCCCTCTTCCGATCCAAAAGGGATCAGGTTTCCCCTGTTTTACAATACTTGCCTGCAGGCGTTTTCCAGACTCCTTTGTTGATTTAAGATCTGTCTGTCACCCTCATGGATCCTCAGACTGGAATGCTTCGCTGATGGGTTAATTCCCTTTCCTCCCGTCAAAGTCTCCTCGTAGTCAAAAGCTACGAAGCCGGCTTTGGAGCTGTCGTCGTTTAGGAGAGGGGGGGGCCCACCAGGGCAATCCGTCTTGGAAGGTTAAATCCTTTTTCTTAAAAGCCCTTAAAAATGTCCCGGCGGAGAAATCGCCATAAATCTTGTGGAAAAATAAAGCCTTAAAAAATAAAGGGCTTTTACGAAATTCCATGGGTGAAAGAGAGATCTTTATTTTTGCGCAAAAGGTTCAGAAGTGATTTAACAATCAGCAAATTTCTGAACAAGGGGGGGAGGGTCTAAACTAAAGCTTTATAGGTTTCTTTCTCTCAGGAACAAAGGAAGCATAGATGGAATCTTACATTGTATATGGAATCTACTTTTGTGTAACATTCAGATAGTTTCTCACACGTTTAGGTCCATTTCTCATGGGAATACAATGAAGGCAGTTTTTACTTTTATACAATGTTTCTAAATATGCATTAGGTCATTCACGTACTGTTAATACAGCTTTTGGCTAACACAGCTTTCTTTCAGAGATTATGCAGACACATGATTTTTGCTTTTAGTGATTTTTCATTATTATTATTATTATTTTACTTTATTCTTCTTTATTCTATGTTATTCTATTTCTTTCCCACTTTACAGGAACAAAGCTTTATTAGGAAAGAAGCATTTGCAAAGGCATGGTGGACTTAAGCTCACGCAGCAGATTTCAAGTCACACCTTTAACAGATGTAAAACACTCTTTTATACCCTATCCCTGAAGCAGATTCCCCCCTCCCCTATCACTCTCAACACCCATTTCTAAATACCGAGGTGCCTAAACCACCTCCCTTCTCAGGAAGTCCTTTGTGCACATCTACAGTCTGTGCATGTCTACACTCTTATCTACCACAATCTAGTTTTCTGTTAGCAAAGCTCGGCTCCTTTAGTTATTCGTATATTTCCTCTGCTTGAGGTTTCAGTTTGCCAGCAGCTTCTACTTATCATTATTTGTGTAGAGTTAACCTGTCTGAGTTTATGACTTCCAGGTGGCTTCTCCTACAAAACTTTAGGCTCATTAGGAATTTCTGATTAATAATGTACTCCTTTCATAATGCAAGTCTGCCAGTGGTGGGAAAAGCTGCTCAGATGTGCCTATTGTGGGCAAAGCATGGACAATAGAACACAGCTGATAATACACCAGAGGATTCACGCAGAGGAGAAACGGCATGAGTGCCTACTTTGTGGGAAAAATTTCTGTCAGAATTCCTCTCTGGTGCTACACTGGCAGACTCACATAGACAAGAAAGCATGTAAGTGTCCAGATTGTGGGGAACGTTTCAGTCAGAATTCCAGCCTGGTGATACACCAGAAGCAGGCAAATGTGTAGAAGCACATGGCATTTAGCACAAATAAAATTTCTTCCTTCAGGAATGAAGCTTCACAGTAGGTGCTCTTGGATGCAGTCCTGGGCAGCACAAGCGACTGTTGGCTCTCTTGCAGTGACTGGCCTGATGGTGCTGCCACATGATAAATCCGAGGGAGCCATAGGAAATCAGTCATAAAGTTTTGGGAGGTAGAGAGGTTTTGATCTCCACTGAGAGTCACCCCTAAGAAAGATTATTATGTAATTCTGTAAAAACCTCATGAACTTTTAGGGTTCAGCATATGGCTGATCACAAGGTAAATTGCATCGCATTTTATTATTTCACTTGGTTCAGTTGCAACAGTCGGTTGCTTAAAGCCGAAGACTATTTGATAGCATGCAATAAGTGAAAATATTTTGCAAACGCCTTAGGTAGAGATGAGACAAGTTTGTTTGTTTTTTTCTGCTCCCTAGCGGGAGATGGCAGTCAAATAGGTTTTCTCAAAACAGGTTTTTAAGAAGTGACTGGACAACCACCTATCTGAAATGGTATAGGGCCTCCTGCTTGAGCAGAGGGTTGGACTAGAAGACCTCCAAGGTTCCTTCCAGCTCTATTCTGATAGATCGAATAGGCAACACCTGTCTCTGCAAAGCGGATACTGTAATTCAGTAAGCAGGGTCTGTGGTTGAATTTAAAAGAGTTAAAATCATAGAGTACGGCACTGCTAGAAAGGATGAGGAGAAGGGCAAAGGAACTTCCTCTTTCGGATCACTCACGGGGTGAAAAGAAGCGGGCGGAGAGGCTTTTGTGCTCTTCCAACGATCAAAACAGCAGCTGGGAGGTGAGTTGAGGGCAGGTCGGAGGAGAGGCCGGGAGCGAGTAGGCTGTTTAGTTCCCTCCACTGCGTGGAAGCAGAGAAGCAATTCGGCTGAAGCATGTCAGCTGCTGCTGCAAATCCTTTCCCTCCCCAACTTTTAAGTCCACTGGTGCTGCACGCTGTTAAACTGGGGGCTGCAATTTTCTGCTGGTGGGAAGATTTCAAAAGACTCTTTCAAGTGAAGGTTGATTCTTTAGGAATGGTTTCCCTCCAGAGGTTGTGGATGCTCCGTCACCGGAGGTTTGTAACAGAGTTGGAAGGAACCTTAGAGGTCTTCTATTCCAACCCCTGCTCAAGCAGGAGACCATTTACTATTTCAGACAAATGGCTGTCCCGTCTCTTTAAAAGCCACCACTGATGGAGTATCCACAACTTCTGAAGGCAAACCGTTCCATTGGTTAATTGTTCTCAGGGTCAGGAATTTTTTCCTTAGTTCTAGTTTACTTCTCTCCTTGATTAGTTTCCATCCACTGCTTGTCTTTCCTTCTGGTGCTTTAGAAAATAAGTTTACCCCCCTCTTTTTGCCCCCTCAAGTATTGGAACATGTCAGCCCTAGTCCTTCCTTTCACTAAACTAGACATACCCAATTCCTGCATCCAGTCTTTATATGTTTAGCCTCCAGCCCCGTAACCATCCTTACTGCTTTCTCTTTGCTCTTTTCAACACTTTTTTTATATTGTGACCAAAATTGGATGCAGTATTCCCAGTATGGTCTTACCATAGCAGTATAAATTGGTGCTAACACTTCACCTGATCTTCAATCTCTGTTTAGGCATCTTAGGATTGCATTGGCTGTTTTGGCCACTGCATCACGGTGTTGGCTCGTATCTAAGTGCTTGTCCACTAAAACTTCAAGATGTCATAAAATTGAGTTCAGGCCCCTCAAGTGAAGTTTTCCAGTAGTTCTTTTATTCTTGTGTTATTTGGACAAAAAGCAAGGCATGCATGCTTAAGTAGTTCCTTTGTGTTTATACATATACTTGTCTAATTTTAAAGTTATTTTACTACAGTAAGTTATTCCCAACAAGCTATTCAGGTTACTATGCCCAACAAGGCTACTCAAGTTGTTGTGTTGCCTAGCTAGGCTACCCATTCACACAATACTCACATATCCTTTCAACACAGGTGATCAGGCTATGTTAGAGTGGGCTGGAAAGCAGATTCAAGGTGTCCCCTGCTCCAACAAGTCTTGAAGTTTGAGGTCTGGTTCATTCCAGTCTTCTCTTTATACCCAACTTGTTTACTCAGAATCCATGTTTATGGCAATCTTGTCCCAGCCATGCCAGAAACTTTACATCCTCATGCTTTGGTCCAAGACTCCATAAAAAAATTCAGCCTCCTACACTCCTTATGCCCACTAATGTTCTATCTGGTATCACGAACAATAGATCGTTCATACAGACACCCAGAATCTTTCCTTGTCGGTAGTACACACATTCCAGCAATGTGAGTTTCCCCAATGAGATCTCACGAAAAGGCTAACTATGCTTGCATTGCAGGCCCTCTATAATCATAACCTATATTTGTGATATGTTCATAACATATAACATAAAATATGTAACAGATCCCTCTCACAGTTACTGAGTAGTCAATAGTACAATAAAATCTTTAGTACATATCTCAGGTTACATCATCAAAAATTCATTCTCTATTTCCCTTAACGTTTACTATATCATATTTAGGCTAATAAAATTCTTTTCAGCCTTATCACTTTATTTATACAAATGGGTATTTTATGATTCTCCGCAGCTTCTATGACAGATGTTTAGTACATACGAAACTCCATAATGACAGCCACTGAATGGGACTATCTTCAACACATTCTTAGCATTTCACACAACCCACTCAAGTTTTCTGACCTTTGTTGTACACTTTCCTCCCTACAATCAGAGATTTCCAGACCTCAAAACCCATTCTGCAATAAATGTCACCTGTTTAGGGGTTACCTGACTATGTAAGTTATATTTAAGCTTACATTTAAATTGGAACCTGTGGTATTAAAATTGTACTTTTTAAAAATTGATTTAGAATATGTTTTTCTTATAATATTTTATTGGTTTTCCAGTTTTACATTTAAGTATTTGGAAAGCAACATGGAGATTGGGTTGGTCAATAGTTCAATAACAAAATCTTTAGTACATATCTCAGGTTACATCATCAAATATTTCTTCTCTGTTTCCCTTAACATTTGCTGTATCATATTTAAGCTAATAAATTTCTAATTGTATCAAAGTCAGTTAAAACTTCATTATCACATTTATCAATATATTTTTGCTTATACATATCCATATCCTGTTTTTAAGTTTTACCTAGTTTTTAGTTTTTAATTACACTACTCCAATTTAACCTTTAATATCCATAGTATTTAAGTTTTGGGTAACCCGAATTTCCTCACTACATAAAAGTTATAATATCTAAAATACATATATTACTTACTTAAATATATTCTTATTTTAATTCACAAACATTTTCTATTTCTAGTACATTACCTCTTAATAAAGGAGTATCCTTTGTTATCCCAAGTCCATCATCTCAACCTTCCTAATATCGCGACCCTTTAATACAGTTCCTCATGTTGTGGTGACCCTCAACCATAAAATTATTTTCGTTGCTACTTCATAACTGTAATTTTACTACTGTTTTGAATCATAATGTAAATATCTGATATGCAGGGTGTATTTTTATTGTTACGACTTGAACATAATTAAAGCATAGTGATTAATCACAAAAACAATATAGCAATGCTCGCTGGAGAAGCTTACTCTTTCTTGCTCAAAAATGTTGGGAGGGAGGGAAGGGGAAGGAAGGAAGGAAGATTGAAGGGGAAAGGAAGGAGATGGAGAAGGATGGACATTGAAGGGGGAAGGAAGGAAGGAAGATTGAAGGGGAAAGAAGAAGGAATGGGGAAGGAAGGAAGGGAGAGAGATTGAAGGGAAGGAGATGGAAGGAAGGAAGGAAGGAAGGAAGGAAGGAAGGAAGGAAGGAAGGAAGGAAGGAAGGATCTTTGGAGAGTCATGTTTTCCCAGATGGTGATGAACTGCAACTCCCAGCATTCCCCACTCTTCCACAGTGCTTTTTAGGGCTGCTGGTGATGGTAGTCTGGAGCCCCCCATCCTCATCCCGGCACTTCTTGCCCTCTCCCAGCCGCCTCCCTGGGACCTGCCTGCCCCTCCAGACTCCTGAATGCCACCGCAGCAGCGGGATCATGGGAGCTCCTTTCCACGCTGCACAGTCCTTCACCACCACGACCCTTCCCCGACTCGTCATATGCGAGAGGGGTGCGGCCGGAGTGCCAGCTCCCGCTCAGAAGGCGCCATCCGGCTGGCCTCCAACGCACATGTAGGCATCGCCCTCTTCCCCTCCACCTGGCCACTTCTGAGGCCTGGAGCCCGGCGAGCCGGGAAGGAGTCGCTCCTGTCCGCTAGTCCCAGGGCCGCGCTGGGCGCCAGAGGGCCAAGGTGGCCTCCAACGGTGAGGTAGGCAGGCCGGGCGGCATGGGGGAAGCTCTGGCGCATCGTGGAGTGCGGCCGGGCAACCAGGAGGCATGGGAACCGGCTCGTCACCACAGCTGAGCCAGCAGCGGCGGCGGCAGCAGAGCAGCCCAGCAGCAGCAACAGAAACAGCCCATAACCAGCTCGGACCGGCCGCCCACGCAGCTGAGCCGGCCTGGGGTGGCGTTGGGGGTGCGTCTCAAGCCCCTGGGCTTGCCATGAGCCGGGAGACGGGGAGGATGCAGCCAGCAGCCGGCTGACATCTGCATGGCCCCCATAAGCACCACCCAACTCCCAACAGTCAGCTGGGAATTGAGTTGGCGTCGGATGTCGGTGGGCTACTGGCGGGGCCGCTACACACCGCCCGCCTTCCAACAGCCAGCTGGGAGTTGGCCCGCTGTGCGCCCGTCAGCTGGGAGTTGGCCCAGCCTCCGCATGTCGGACTGGCTCCTGGGAATCAGCTGGGAGTTGGCCCAGCTCCCGGCCAGCAGCTAGGAGACGGCATGGCTGCTGCAGGATGACGCTGCGGCAGCAGGAGCAGGCGCTTTTGGAGGAGAAGGGCGCTCTTGAGGCGGAGGAGCCGGAAGAGGAGGAGGAGTGCGGCAGCGGCCAGATAGAAGAGCGTTGTCTCGGTTCCTAAGACCATCGGAAATACGTGTTTTCCGATGGTGTTAGGCGACCCTTGTGAAAGTGTAGTTCGACCCCCAAAAGGGTCACGGGCCACAGGTTGAGACCCGCTGATCTATATTGTCTGGGCTAAGCAATAATTCAAAATTATTCCCTGATAGTTAGTTTTCATTTCCCTTTTAAGCCTAAGTCCTCAATATTACACCAATTATTCCCTTATTTTTTATTATTTTCCAGCAATTTTTAAATCTAATAATCAAATTTCCCCTCATCTTAAAATCTCCCTTTAGTCCATTAGTTAAGACTTTAGGATTCTCTCTAATAAATCAAACGACCCCATTTTTTAAAACCTAACTCTAGCTTTCTTTTTATGCCAACCAGGCTTCCATACCAATGCTTTTAGATGATCAGATGGATCTCCCTTCGTTCTTGTACATGTTACTTGAATTAAAGCAGACCATCTAGTTGTCAATTTTCTGGAGGCATTGGCCCATTGGTAATCATTAAGCTGTCGCCCTAGTGGCTCAGATCCCCATATTTGCTCTAGTATAGTTGTCTTCAATTCAATCTGGTCTTCTTCTTCCTCACGTTTCTTCTGGTTGAAGTAGAAAGTCATGTCCAATTTTGTAGTTATTATTTCATTGTCTAAGTTTTCAGTAAGCTGTATTTGTTGATCTTCAAAGCCCTCCGTCTTGATATTACTTTCTTCTGCTTCTGTTGTCTTTTGGGTTGTAGGTTCTTTAGTTGCAGTCAGGGTTTTGCTTTGTAGATTTAAGTTGGTACCTTGGTCTTTCAGTCTAAATTTCATTATCTCGGTGGCTTCAAGATTTTTTTCAAATATAAGTTTGTAATCAAGCAACATATGTTGCTGGTCTTCCTCCATTTCTGACATAGTTACAGATAGTCCTTTAGTGAAGGCTATTTATTAAACAAGAGTCAGTAAGTGTTCACCTCCACAGTTCCTAAAAACTTATTTCACTGTCCAGGCTTTCTTTCAGCTTATAATCTCTCTTAGATAGTGCCAAGGTCAGATCTGGGCTGTGAGCAAGTAACTTGTCAAGAATAATAAAAATAATAGATTGCTGTACCAAGCTTCGCCAGCAGATGTCCCCAGTAGCACTTAAAGTCTTTTAAATCCCGGGTTAGGTTTTTATCCAATTTAAGTTCTTCTTTTTTTCTTCTTTTTTTCAAGTAAATAAAATAGCAGATCCCAGTAAGAATAGGAACTTTTTGGGTCCCCAGATTAAAAAAAAATGTAAATCCAATTACATTTAGTTATTCTTTTCAATGCTTTGTTTTCTCAGGTAGTCAAACACTGCCATTTTAGAGTGTGGGGGGAAGAATTTCAAAAAGCTTTTAACAGGAGAATTACTTGGGGTAAAGAGAAGGTAGAATCTCACGAAATTCCTCTGTGTTGCTTTCAAAGTGCTTGTTTGTAATTTTGGCCTCGGCTGGTAACGGCTTAGTGATGAGCCATAAATGGCCAATCTTTTCCCCGTCAGTTAGAAGAGCTGCCCTGGATCAAACAGGAGGGCTGCCGCGATCACTCGGGGGTCCTCTTCATGCTCGTCGCCCCTGCAGGGCGACTTTTGACCCTTTTCAGGGTCTCCCGGTGGTAAAAAACAGGACAGCATGGAGAACAATCGCCCTGAATATCTTCCTGTGCCGCGATCAAAACCAGAAGTCAGACTGATACAATTCTTATTATATCAGCTAAGTAAAAATCTTTGTAGACAGATCAATATTCAGTTTTAACTTTTAATATTTATACTTTAAATAATCGAAATTTTCTTCATCTCACTTCATAATAAAGTTTAGTATTCAAAGTATGCATCTTATCTATTTGAGTATATTCTCTTTTAATCTTCACTGATAAGTAAAAATACCAATTTTGACCTGGCAAAGCTGGGAAGGTACACATCAAAAAAAGCAGGTGTTCCCAACAAACACATCTTCACCCAGCATCTGGTTAAATTATCCTTCCCCAGTTGTTCATTTTGAGGATGGGTGGGGCTGCTGCTGACCTCCTCTGTGCCTCCCTTTGCTCTGCTTTCCTCACCTGTGGATCGAGCGGGAGGCACAATTGACAATTGTATTTGAACTTGGACCTTAGTAGTCTTCCATGTGTCAAATGAATCATGATTCATGTAAGAGGTTATTCTAACATTGTGGTATGTTTGCTTTTTATTTTAATGTACAGTTTTTTCTTCTTTTCATATTTTCTACATCAATTTTATAAACAATTAACATTGCACTTTTCTTTAAATCTTATAGGCAAAGAGGATGGCAATAAGAGCACTCTGGACAACTGAGAATAAGAAGCAGCGTTGAAAGAAAATTGACCCAGAAATCAAAATATTTTGCATTTCCTTCAGAAAGCCACACCATTCTCCTTCTTCAGCAGCTGATAGACAAAAGAGAGAAAATTAAGAAAGATTTCAAGCTGGAATAAGTAGAGCATATGGAACTCAAGGATGCATTACATGAAAGTCAAGGGAGATTATTCTTTATTCAGTAAAAGGGGGAAATATCTGGACGTCACTGGATAGGAAAAAGTCACTTGGAGAGCCACCTAGGGCAGACAGTGATGCAAGCCGTGCTCTGGGGGGAAAAAAACAGCTTTAATTTAAAAAAAAATATTAAAAAAGGGATCACACATGTTTTTGACATCCTCAAAGATATAAGTGGTGGAAAAGCTGCATAGATGTGCTTATTGTGGGAAAGATACAACTTGCAAATCACAGCTGATTACGCATGAGAGGACCTATACAGGAGAGAAGCCATAACATTTCTCCAAATGTGGTAAATGGCACATGGCAATGTGGTGAGACATCAGAGGACTGACACCACATATGAGTGCCCGAATAATGTGGAAGTTTCATTTAAAATTCCCACGTCATGAGACAGCAGAGGACTCACACAGGAGAGAAACTCTTTGAATGTCCTTATTGTGGTAAACGTTTCAGTAACAAATGGAACCTGGTAACACACCAGAGGACTCACACAGGAGAGAAACCCTTTGAATGTCCTGATTGTGGTAAAGGTTTCAGTCAGAATTCCACCCTGGTAACACACCAGAGGACTCACACAGGAGAGAAACCCTTTGAATGTCTTGATTGTAGTAAAGGTTTCAGTCAGAATTCCACCCTGGTAACACACCAGAGGACTCACACAGGAGAGAAACCCTTTGAATGTCCAGATTGTGGTAAACGTTTCAGTCAGAATTCCAGCCTGGTAACACACCAGGGGACTCACACAGGAGAGAAACCCTTTGAATGTCCTGATTGTGGTAAAGGTTTCAGTTTAAATTCCACCCTGGTAACACACCAGAGGATTCACACAGGAGAGAAACCATTTGAATGTTCTTATTGTGGTAAAGGTTTCAGTCAGAATTCCACCCTGATAACACACCAGAGGACTCACACAGGAGAGAAACCCTTTGAATGTCCTGATTGTGGTAAAGGTTTCAGTACCAATTCCAACCTGGTAACACACCAGAGGACTCACACAGGAGAGAAACCCTTTGAATGTCCTGATTGTGGTAAAGGTTTGAGGACCAGTTCCAACCTGGTAACACACCAGAGGACTCACACAGGAGAGAAACCCTTTGAATGTCCTGATTGTGGTAACGGTTTCAGTGACAATTCCACCCTGGTATCACACCAAAGGATTCACACAGGAGAGAAACCATTTGAATGTTCTTATTGTGGTAAACGTTTCAGTCAGAATTCCACCCTGGTAACACACCAGAGGACTCACACAGGAGAGAAACCCTTTGAATGTCCAGATTGTGGTAAAAGTTTCACTACCAATTCCAGCCTGGTAACACACCAGAGGACTCACACAGGAGAGAAACCCTTTGAATGTCCTGATTGTGGTAAAGGTTTCAGTTTAAATTCCACCCTGGTAACACACCAGAGGATTCACACAGGAGAGAAACCCTTTGAATGTTCTTATTGTGGTAAAGGTTTTAGTCAGAATTCCACCCTGGTAACACACCAGAGGACTCACACAGGAGAGAAGCCCTTTGAATGTCCAGATTGTGGTAAAGGTTTCAGTACCAATTCCAGCCTGGTAACACACCAGAGGACTCACACAGGAGAGAAACCCTTTGAATGTCCTGATTGTGGTAAAGGTTTGAGGACCAGTTCCAACCTGGTAACACACCAGAGGACTCACACAGGAGAGAAACCCTTTGAATGTCCTGATTGTGGTAACGGTTTCAGTGACAATTCCACCCTGGTATCACACCAAAGGATTCACACAGGAGAGAAACCATTTGAATGTTCTTATTGTGGTAAACGTTTCAGTCAGAATTCCACCCTGGTAACACACCAGAGGACTCACACAGGAGAGAAACCCTTTGAATGTCCTGATTGTGGTAAAGGTTTCAGTACCAATTCCAACCTGGTAAAACACCAGAGGATTCATACAGGAGAGAAACCATTTGAATGTTCTTATTGTGGTAAAGGTTTCAGTCAGAATTCCATCCTGGTAACACACCAGAGGATTCACACAGGAGAGAAACCCTTTAAATGTTCTTATTGTGGTAAAGGTTTCAGTCAGAATTCCAACCTGGTAACACACCAGAGGATTCACACAGGAGAGAAACCATTTGAATGTTCTTATTGTGGTAAAGGTTTCATTACCAGTTCCAACCTGATAACACACCAAAGGACTCACACTGGACAATAACCGTTTGAATGTCCTGATTGTTAAAAATGTTTCAGTACACATTCCATTCTCACTCCAAGCGAGAGATATTTCAAAGAGTAAAGAAAAAAACCAAAGGAAATACATGGCAAGACATCCATAGTTCCCCTCCCCCCCATAGAATGGCAGAACCCAAAAGTGAGAAAAAGGAAAGGGGTAAAAGGGAAAAAGGGGTTTTGGTACTTACATTCTGATGCACTTCTGGATTTCAGAGAAATGTAGATAGAACACATCAAGAAAACATAAATACCTCTCAGGAGGAGATATATACTGCAATTAATTCAAACAACAATGAATTCAAATCACAACGAAATCCAAAATCAAATTGAAAATATAAATTTATCTATTTCTAAGTTAACTCTACAACAAAAAAACTTCCAGGAAAAAACAACAGAGAAGGAGCGGACAAAACAAATAAGTGGATATAAAATTGAAAATAGAGACTCAAAGATGGAACTTAACAAAGCAAGAAAACATGATTTAATCCTAGTGGGAAAAAATTCACAAGAAATGGAAAAAACAACTCATCCCTTAAGACTACAAAATAAATCTGAGGACAAAAAAACAGATTGGATAAAATGGAATGTAGAGATGTTGAAAACATCAGAGAGAAAGGAAGTGATAAGAGAAGCAGAGAAGAAGAAAAAGATTTTCAAGAAACACAGAAAGGCAAAAGCCTCATATAAAGACACTTTATTTGATTTACTTCTTATACCTACAGCAACAGTCATGAATATATGGGAAAACTTTTTGATTCAGCAAAATACATTGATCAAGAAACATACTGGTCAAAGGAAAAAGATTAAAGTGAAAATTAAGAAAATAGATGATGGGATCTTCCAGAGAGAATATTTTAAAAAGAAACATTTGTTTGAATATGATTAAAGAAGTAGAAAAGATTTTGAACACATATGTCATTCTAAGAGGGATGAATTCCTTAAATAATACTGTATGCTTTCACCCCCTTTTTATTTTATTTCCTGATATAAGTAACATAACACTGTTGAAATGGCTTAGATGAAGGAAATGTTTTAGATAATTAAATGGGTTTGAATTTAGGGAAATTATAATGTATAAAAAAGAAAAAATGTTTGAATAAGAGTTAAAGGATCAGATGACTAGACACATTAAATGGAATATTTAAAAATTAAATATATTTTTAATTATGGTTAAAAAAAATAAGAAATTTGGGGAATGAATATATATTAGCTTAGGAGGAATATATATTTTAAGTAATATTTTACTTTTTATGTTTCTTTACTCTTACTCTCTTTTCCTTTTGTTTAATGTTTTTACCTATTCTTTAAGAAACGTAAAATTATGGAGATGGTTTATGTGGGAAAAATGGATTTAAATATTTAAATGTAATTAACTGTTGAGAAGATCTTAACGAGCAAGTATACTTTGTACTTTATGGGAGAAACAAATTTAAATAAGGACTGTAACAGGATATAAGATGATTAGATAGAAAAGAAATATTATATTGATGTGATCATTATTTCTAAGAATATTGGGGGGAAATCATATATGTAACTGTTACTTATCAAAATAGTAAGAACTGTATCAATTCAAGGTTCTCAAAGAAGACATTTTGGGGAAAAGGGGAAATCAACTAAATGTACTATGTGGATTAAGGATTATAGAAACCGATTAATGATTTTTCTTTACAAATGGAAACCCAGCAAACACACTGTTTACCAACTGCTAAGTGATTTATGATTAAAAACATCAATAAAATATGTGAGTTTAAAGAAACTTATTATTCTGTAATTCTGTAAAAAGGTCATGAATTTTTAGGGTTCACCATATGGCTGATCACAAGCTAAGTCGCATCGCAGTTTATTATTTCACTTGATTCAGTTGCAAAGGTCGGTTGCTTAAAGTCAAAGACTATTTGATAGCATGCAATAAGTGAAAATATCTTGCAAACGCTTTAGGTACCTATCTGAAATGGTATAGGGCAGCGGTTCTCAACCTATGGGTCGTGATCCTTTTGGGGGGGGTTGCACGAGCCTTTCACAGGGGTCACCTAAGACCATCGGAAAACACATATTTCCGATGGTCTTAGGCAGGGCTTGTCAACTGCCTTCTCTCCCCCCCCCCGTGGCAGTGCCTCCCTCCCCCCCTCCGCTCCACCTCACTTGTTTGTGGAAAATATGCTGCTTGGCGGCAGTCTGCACAAACGCTACCAAATGTGTCCTGCAGGGGCGCATGAAGAGTGCAGGCGCAGAGCAAGGCCCTGCCTTCCCCAGAGACTCATTGTGCAGCAACCGGATTGATTTCTTCTCATGCACGCAGGTCAGCAAAAGAAAGGCCGCCCAGCACCCAGCTCCTATGCCCGTCAGCTGGCAACCCTTGAACTTGCGCTTGTCAGCTGGGAGGTGTGGTGACGGCTGCCAGTCTCCTTTTCCACCCTGCCCATCCTTGACGACTCCTCCACCCATTCATGTCGAGCCCGCCGGGGCTTGACAGGGAGAGAGGGAGGGAAGGAGGAAGGGACTCCTAGTTCTCTCGTAAACTTCAAAGCACAATTGGCTTCCTAAGGGTGCCACAATCCTCACGACAGCGGGTGGAGAAGCAAAGGGGGCGAGAAAGTTCGCGGCAGGCTTGAAGGAGCACCTGTCAGTGTTGGTGATGAGAAATTCTCCACAAACCCAGGGAAGGGATGGGGAAAAGGAGCCCCCTTTGGGAGGAAACCGCCACCTTCTTCTTGGCTTTGCGCTCTTTTGTTCCACGGCAGCCGGGCTGCAAAGTCTCTGCTGGCTGGAACTTCCTTTCCTTCCGTCTCTCTTGGTCTCTTCCTCCTTCCCTCCCTCTCCCATTGTCCTTTCCTTCCTTCCTTCCTTTATTTCTCCTCCCTCTTTGTCCCTCCTTCCCTCCCTTTTTCCCCTTGTCCCTTCCGTCCTTCCTTCCTTCCCTCTTGTCCAGGATCGGGGCGAGCCTCTACAGCTGATCGGCTCTTCTGCAGAACAGCCCAGAAGCAGATCAGCTGTAGCAGCTCTCCTTGGCTCCTACCCAGCAAACATTTATTTATTTATTTAACTTTATTTATATGCCGCCCAATCCCAAAGGACTCAGGGCGACGTACAAAATTAAAACAATCATCTAACAATAAAATAATACAATCATACAGCGTGTCTGATCATATCCCGCCCCCCCCCCGGGGAAATCAGCCCCAGGCCTGCCGGAACAGGAGAGTTTTAACGGCTTTCTTAAAGGCCGGCAGGGTGGGAGTAGTTCGAACCTCGGGGGGAAATTGATTCCACCAGGTCGGAGCCACCACAGAAAAGGCCCTTCCCCGAGGGCCCGCCAGCCGACATTGTCTGGCCGACGGGACCTGAAGGAGGCCCAATCTATGGGACCTCACCGGTCTCTGGGAACTGTGCGGTAGTATGCGGTCCTGTAAGTAACCTGGCCCTATGCCATGAAGGGCTTTAAAGGTGATAACCAACACCTTGAATTGCGTCCGGAGACCCACAGGAAGCCAGTGCAGCTCGCGGAGGATAGGTGACACGTGGGCGTACCTTGGCGCGCCCACAATCACTCTTGCGGCTGCATTCTGAACCAACTGCAGCCTTCGAACGCTCTTCAAGGGTAGCCCCATGTAGACCGCGTTATAGTAATCCAGTCTTGAGGTGACAAGGGCATGAGTGACCGTGAGTAAAGCCTCCCGGTCCAAATAAGGCCGCAACTGGTGCACCAGGCGAACCTGGGCAAAGGTCCCCCTGGCCACAGCCGGTAGATGTTGTTCCAAATTTAGCTGTGAGTCCAGGAGGACACCCAAGTTGCGTGCCTGCACTGAGGGAGGTAAATTTGCCCCCCCCCCAGGACTAATGATGGACCATCCAGTTGACCTTTGGGAGGCAATACCCAGAGCCACTTGGTCTTGTCAGGGTTGAGTCTAAGCCTGTTCACCCCCATCCAGACCCTCACATCTTCCAGGCACCGGCACATCACGTCGACTGCTTCACTGAAAGGACACGGGGTGGAGATATATAATTGGGTATCATTCGCGTACTGATGATACCTCGCCCCGTGTCGCCGAATGATCTCACCCAGCGGTTTCATGTAGATGTTAAAAAGGAGGAGGGACAGGACCGAGCCCTGAGGCACCCCATGATCGAGGCGCCTAGGGGTCGATCTCTGTCCACCTGCCAACACCGACTGCGACCTGTCAGAAAGGTAGGAGGAGAACCACCACAATACGGTGCCACCCACCCCCACCTCTCCGAGATGACGCAGAAGGATACCATGGTCGATGATATTGAAGCCCTATCCCGGGCTCGCCAGAGGTCATCGGTCAGTGCGACCAAAGCAGTCTCAGTGCTGTAGCCGGGCCTGAAACCAGATTGAAAAGGGTCCAGATAATTAGTTTCATCCAAGTATCGCAAGAGTTGGGACGCCACCACCTTCTCTACAACCTTCCCCACAAAGGGGAGGTTGGAGACAGGACGAAAGTTCTTCAAAACAGCTGGGTCCAGGGAAGGCTTCTTGAGGAGGGGCCTCACCACCGCTTCCTTTAAAGGTTGCGGGAAAGACCCCTCCATCAAGGAGGCGTTGATTATCGCCTGGAGCCAGCCTTGTGTCACCTCCCTACTGGCAGAAACCAGCCAGGAGGGGCACGGGTCCTATAAACAGGTGGCGGCATTCATGGCCTTGTCCACTTCATCAGGGGTCACAGGCTCAAACTCGCTCCAGATAACATGACTAAGACCAGCCCCCGGCAACTCGGCTGGCACTGCCCAGTCGGAGTCCAGGTCTCTCTGAATCTGAGCGATTTTATCCAAAAGAAACTGAACAAACTCCTCAGCTCTCCCCTGCAAGGGTTCCTCCGCCTCCTCCACTTTAAGAAGGGAGCGGGTCACCCTAAACAAGGCGGCCGGGTGAGATTCTGCGGACGCAATAAGCTTTGCCGCCCTTATCGCCAGATAAGATAGG